CAGTCAGACATCCCTCTCACAATCCAGGACTGCTGTCTCCTAACTGCTCGCCTGCCTGCCTGATTGCCTCTAACCACTTCTGCCTGCCAGCCTGATCACCCCTAATTGCTCCCTGTAGGCCTGATTAACACCTAACTGCTCTCCTGCTGGCTCAATCACCCCCAACTTCCCTCCCCTGCTGACCTGACCTCACCCCCAACTGCCCTCTTTGCCAGCCAATTTGGTTCTGATTGGTTGGTTTCTATGCCAGTTAATGTCTCTGGGCCTATCAATGGGGCCTGATCAAAAAGGTGGGGTTGATCAGCAGCCCAGGTGGAGGCCTGGAGAAAAATGGAGGCATGGCTGCTGGCCAAGAAGAGAGAAAGAGAGAGGTAAGTGCTGATCAACAGCTGTCACAGGCTACAGATCAGACCCTGATTCTCTCTTCAGGCCTCTCTCTGGGCCTGATTCACAGCCCCCTTATCAGTCAGTGCTTGGTCACTGCGCCTGCAGCTATAGCAGTCAGTGCTGAGTCACCATGGCATCCCAGTGCTGACTGCAGGACTGACTTCCAGTTAGTCCAGCCTTCAGTCATTGTGGATGTGATGGACCCAGGGTTTTTATATATTAGGATGATTAATCTTTACTCTAGGTAGTTATTGTTCAGCCCATTGTACAGATCAGGTAAGAAAGGCCAGGAAGTCTTGCAGCTATGGTCAAGCCAGCTCAAAACCAACCAAAGGTTGGAGCACTTTTCTCTGTATTGTGATGCCTTCCCAGAGTGGTGAATTCCCAGCATGAAGCCATATAGGTGATAGTCCCCTGGCCTAAGCAAGTCCTAGTTTAGGAAGGATCTGAAAGAAGAAGGGTGAAGGAAGGGCTGGCTCACTGAGAAGTCAAGGATCCCTGGCATTATTGAGAGGACATCTTCTCCATACTGGTTGCTACTGCCACAAATTCCTCTAACAACAAAACCCAACCCATCACAGGGACTGGGTCAGACAAGCTAAAACAGAAAGCAGGCTATAGCTGCTCCCTAGAAAATTCCTCCCTTTGCAGCCAGAGGGTTTGGGGTGGAGGACCCTGACCAGGCATTCAGAAGAGTAGACTCCAGTTTCACTTGTGGCATAGACAAGACCATTCCCCTTCCTGGGCCTCTATTTCCTCAGATGCAAGATGTTGAGGCCAACCAACAAGCTTTCCAAAGAACCCTTTCAAGCCTGATTCACATTCTGAGTGCCCTTCTGATTGGAGATTTTTCTCCTGAAGTTGATCAGGTGCCACTGATGAAAAAGATTCCTGATTGCCTACAAAACCGTACACTCAGCTCCCCAACCCACCCCAGTTTTGCTGGAAAAGAGAACTACCTGACTTATCAGTGCCTACCCATTCACTCCTTCTACCATGCTGCCTCCTCCCTTGGCCCTACCTCTCTGCAAGAGTCTTCCAAAGACCCCGACCCACCTTCTGCTGCTCTGTTCCCCAGTTAGCAGACTGAGCTATTAATACTTTCAGAAGTCTGGGAACGCTGGGAAACACAGAGCAATTTGAGATATAATTTCCCTCTTTAGAATTCTTACAAAAGATTGGAGCTGGGTAGCTACAAGATGGTATATGTTATATACAATCTTAATGTAGGGAGCTCCTCCCTTTGTCACACCTGTATACACAAGGATGAGCCAGGATTTCTTGCGCAAACAGGCTGGGATATTTGGATGGGCATACGGTACGCTTTCAGTAAATATCTATGAATTGAATTAAATCCCTCTTGCCAAAGGAATAATCTCTTACCCAAATACACAGGAAAACCAAACAGATCCACCTCAGTATGTTCCCCTGGAAAGAGCACTGGGAGTCCAGAAGCTGAGAAAGCTCCAGCTTCTCACTGGCTAAGGGAAGTGAGGTCACCAGCATGCCACCTCACTCCTGAGGCATCACACAAATAAGAAAACTACCCTGAAGGCATCTTGATGCTCCCAGCTCCGATGCTATCTTACTGTACAAGGAAGAGTCACTGAGACTGAAAGGAACAGTGTGGCCCTTTGTAAAGCTCCAAGCACTTCAAGCTGCAACTGTTCGGGTAGCTTCAAAGACGGAATGATGTTCCTTGGGGAAAGGGGCCCTACTTGGTTGAAATGTGGCCTGGGAACTCCAATCCATGTGGGCCAGTGCTTGCTATCAAAAGTGCTCACTAACTTTGAGGAGGTCACAGACAGGCTAAGTTTACATCTCTGTTGCTTACCAGCTGTGAAATCTTGGGTCGGCTCTTCACCTCTGCAAGACTCAATGTAAACTTCTGCCGCATGGTGATAGAAATGCCTACCTTGCTAGGTCACTGCAGAATTAAATGAGATCATGCAGACAGAACACAAAGCACAATGCCTGGAGCCATCATGAGCTTAAACACTCTTCCCTTTCCCATACACATATCTGAAGATCCTCAGAATAAGATAAATCTCAGCTGATTTCACTGGCCTAGAAAACCAGACCCCTGTTGAGGAAACGGGCTTAATTTCTAGTACTCCAGAGGGATACCTGGCGATGTGCATTGGGGCTGTGGAAGCAGGTGCAGGAGACGGATTGAGAAGGATAGAGGCACCCAGAGACCCTCCACCATTCCCCTTTACCAGTGCTATGTGGGGGGGGGCTCAGTGAACAAGTGGCTCCCGGAGTGGTGTCCCATCCCATCCTCCCAGCCTGGTTCCCTGCCTCCCAGGAGCACAGACCTTCACCTCAAGCAGGAAAATCACCCGCTGTGGGACCTGGCTTCTTAAAATGAGAGTGTAGGACCAGACAGCCTCTATGGTCCTTTATTATTTTCTGAACCACAACTCTACAGAGTCAACTGATGCTTAGCTGATGCCTTACCTTCCTCATCCCCTCCTTCAAGACTGAGGAAAGAGGTGAAAAGAAGGAACCAAGAGGTTCAGAAAGTAGAGGGAGAGGGCAGAAGCTGGGGTTCATTATGCTAATTTAATTAGCTCTAATCTGCTGGCAGCAGGGCCTTGAAGAAAGAGGCTTTTGTTTAAATTTCACATTTGGCAGGAAGTGCCCCTTTTCCTCCTCTCTCCTCTAACCCCCACTTCTCCGCCCTCTCTTCCCCCTTTAGAGCCTATGACTCAAAAGCTCTGATTTCAGTCCCGGCTTTCACAACTGGTAGCGCTGGGGCTTCCTGTTCACACTTCTCTGACCAAATTCTTGATTTTTCCAGCAAGAAAATTTGCCCCAGATGTTGGTCAGTAAATGGAGAGTTTTCATCTGCCCTTATGAAAGGATGTCAGTAATTCACAGATTTCCCCCAAGTAGCAGGAGCCAACAGGGAAATGCCAGTGACTTCTCTCCATTCAGTAAACCAGCCCTAACCAGTTTGGCTCAGTAGATAGAGCATCCCGGTTCAATTCTGGTCAAGGGCACGCACCTTGACTGCAGGTTTCTCTGCACGCAGCCCAGGCCCTGGTAGGGGTTCATACAGGAGGCAACTAATCAATATGTTTCCCTATTAGGGGTGTTGAACTCAATCAGAGAAGGGGCCAAAATCTAAAATCCAGCCTAAATCGCGGGCTGAATGGTTTACTGAACAGTCATAAACTGTCATTGTGATGGAAACGCAGCGGAGTGCAGTGATGACAGCGTGGTGCGGGCCACATTGCAAGGCCTGACGGGACGGATTTGGCCCGCGGGCCTTGTGTTTGACACATGTGCCTCACATCAATGTTTCTTTCTGTCTTCCCCTTTCTCTTCCACTCTCCCTAAAAATCAATGGACAAATATCCTCGGGTGAGGAATAACAAAAAAATAAAAATAAACCAAAGGTTTACCAACCAACTAAACCCCTTCTGTCCATAAGCAGGGACTCTCACAGAATGCAATGCATTTTATTTCCACTCTCTTATAGGACCCTCACAAGTGTCTTATGGGATAACAAGAACAGAAATCTCACTCTCATTCATTCATTTAACGAATGCTTATGGCGCATCTACTGTTCACAGGAGGGAGGGGAAGTGGAAGGAGGCACTGGTGACGTATCTTGCCCATGCCACCCAGCCTGTTGATGGTAGAGCAAGCTCTGGAACCAGAGATGTGCTGGTAACCTGAATCTCCAGAACAAAACAGCCCTGGTTTGCAGCACTGGCTCATGTCCGCAATGTAATTGTCCCCACCAAGGCCAATTTCAAGCGGCCAACAATCTTTTAACAACCAGTCTGCCAAATTCCTGAATATTTAAAAATCTGCTCTCAAGAGCCTCCAGGCTAAAAACACATTTTCCTGCTCCTGAGTGTTCTTTCTGCCTCACCTCTACCTCCATGCGAGAGGCGAGGCGTCAACATGCTACAGACTCTAGTATAGAGGCTTAACGAGTAACCTTAATAAAAACCACCTGGAGAATTGTTCACAGCAATAGGATTTCAGGCATGTTGTTTCTTCCACATCAGTAGTTTTCCAAATGTCCTATGAGCACGTGTCACCTTTATAATCAGAACATAGATAGGTAATTAAAGACATTTTTTAGTGAGCTTAGTGGAACGTTTTTTGCAATAACCTCCCACACACAATTTCTGTCACTCTGTTTCCCTTTGGTGAGAGAGAGAGAGAGAGAGAGAGAGAGAGAGAGAGAGAGAGAGAGAGAGAGAGAGAGAGAGAGAGAGAGAATGAGTTTCCTAAGAGTTCAACTTCCCTTGCAGAAATGAACAGGTGCACTTAAGTTAAGCATTCACCTGAATCAGGTGCAGTTTTACCTAGAGAATAGATTCGCTACATTTGGAGTTTAAATTTCACCAGCAATTGGGTGAATTCAACTCAGTTAAGATTCCAAAAAAATCTGCTCTCAAAAGTCACAACCTCTTTGGCCACCAAATGACCTTTCCTCCCAACGGGCTGGGGTAGAAGCAGATGGTTTGACTGAATCCGAAACAACCGCTCCTTCTTTCCTGAACCTTTGAGGAGGAAGGAGGCTTTCACACACTCCCCACCACCACCCCAACTGTAAGCATTCTGCCCTCTCAGTCCTCAAGGGGTCTTACCTCAGCGCTGGGACAGAGATGTGGCACGAGGGCTGGGTCAGGGTCAAGGAGGCCCGCTCACTTCAGCTGGGACCCATAGCTGCTTTCCACTGGGCTGCTGGTTGAGGAGGTGCCCAGTGGGCTCTGCCTTGGCTGCAGAGAAAAAACAAACAAAGCAAAGTTGCCTGGGGAGCACCAGAAGTGCATATCCTAATACTTGCAGGAGGTTAAGCACCCTTGCCTCTCCCACTCTCAGCCCTGGTCACTCTCCCGGGTCAGAGCCCTTTCCAGAAGAGGGGGCCACTCTCCTTCCCAGGGTTCAAACTGGCCATCAATTCACCCAGACCTCCCCCTTCTGGAGCTGAGTAATTTCACTGAACTGAAGATTAAGCAAAGCAAGCTACTCCAGTCACTGAATCCTAATGCTATTTACTCCTTACTCACTATTGTTGGTAAGAAAAATAAGGGTAAACCCCAAATTTTGTGTTTAGATAAGGTGTGGTGGACAACTGATTTTAATCAACAAATACATCAAGCTGAAACCGGTTTGGCTCAGTGGATACAGTGTAGGCCTGCAGACTAAAAAGTCCCAGGTTCGATTCCGGACAAAGGCATGTACCTTGGTTGCGGGCACATCCCCAGTGGGAAGTGTACAGGAGGCAGCTGATCGATGTTTCTCTCTCATCGATGTTTCTAACTCTCTATATCTCTCTTTGTAAAAAAAATCAATAAAATATATATATTTTTTAAAATACATCAAAGTTGCTCAAGTCTTCCTGTGAGCTATCATAAATTGTTTATAATGTTACAAATGTAAATTCCATTTCTAATTTGTTTTGGGAGCATTTTTAATGGAAACTACATTTTCAACCCATATATTATTATAGCTGTCTGAGTGGATAACATTTGTTTTTAAAGCCATTGTTTTGTGTGTGTGTTTTTTATGTTTATTCTAGAAATTTTAAAAATATATAATTTAGACAAGAGGAGAAAAGTTATCCATTCTTTCTCCACCCACCCAAGATACCGTATTTTCCGGCGTATAAGATGACACTGTGTTCTAATAAAAAGCTTGCTCAGATTGGCCAGAGTCAGAGAGGCGGTCTATTAAAAAAAGAACTGGTGTTGTCTCAGAAGTGGGGGGTAGTCTTATACAGCGAATATAGGCCTAAACGTATGTTTTAACTGTAAAATTAGGGGGTCGTCTTATACGCCGGAAAATACGGTAACTAAAGATAGCACACCCTTCCTGGTTTTATTTTATTATCCAGATTTTTTTATAAAGATGCAATAAAACCAGACAATTTATGTGGCTGTGACGTAAATTTACCTCACCTCCCAAAGGCCGGACATTTAAGTCATTTCCAACATTTTTGGGGGGTAATTACAAATAGTGCTTTGTAAAACTTAGTCTCTGGGGGAAAGTAGTGGTTATATCCATAAGACACAGTTTAGAAGTCCAAGTTGCTCAATCAAAGAGTTTCCAAATTTCTCTTGTGTAACATTTCTAGTGGAAATGAGTGTGAACTTCACGGAGTCTGGGTTTTTATATTTCCTGCTCACACTCAATCCAGCCCCGGTCTAAGAAAAGATCCATGATGATAACATGGGCTCCCCAAATCAAGCTTGGAGAGGCAGAAACATGAGTAAGAATTGGTAGGGAGGGGAAAAAGTGAGAAAGCCACTGGGGAACAGAGAAGGAATGTTAATACACAAGGGCGGTGTCCAGGAACTAAGACACAGAGAAACAAGCGTCATCCTGGTGCTGGTAGGCCCTGGGCCGACAAAAAATAAAATAGAAGCTGAAGTGAGCCATTTAAGGGCACAGAAATATCAAGGTCTGACAAAGATTCAGGGCAGATCAGAGAAAACTACAAAGGCACCAATCAGGTGAGGTGGAAAAATAAAGAGTTGCTTGCGGCATTTGAGCATTTTGCTTCTGTTTATAATTCATGCTAACAAAACACCAGGAGCCAGAGTCACTATGGGGAGAGTGAGCCAGGCCAGGAAGAAACCTCTACCTGCAATCACAGCTGAGCTGGTGGCCACCTGGGAGCCTGCCAGCAAAGAGCCTTTCCCAAGGAACAGGAGCAAGGTGCTCTGGGAGTGTGGGGACTCCTGGCTGCTGATCCACCCACCTCCTTAACAGGAAGGAGGCCCCACTCTGCACCCCCCTCTAGCCAGCCTCTCACCTCCCTTCTTTTACTCCATCCAGGCCAAACCTTCAGTGAGAGATGGATAATTCACCAAGTAACCTGTCTAAGCAGACTGAATGGATTTCTGTGACCCTGTGATCCAGGCAAAACCCTGGGGACAAGTCTCATGCTGCTTCCTAGCTGACCAGCTTCCACCCTATTTACCCAGCACTCCAGACTAATAAGGGAATTGGGGAGGGGGGGCAGTTTTCATTAATGCTTTCTATATTCTTTGGAAGATAGCTTACACACTTCCAATGGTACTAAAATAGGCAAGTCTTCACCTGTCCAACCTACCACTACCCCACCCACTTATACTTTGGGCCTCTCCTGATGGTCAAAGGGTAGAATTTTCATTTATAAGCAACTCACCTATAAATAAGGGTGCTGGAACAATCAGAGGCTTTCAAAATTGCAACTATGAAAAGACTATAGTGAGCTGAAGGCAGACCCTAAAGCTTAAAGGAAAGCTAGTGAGGGTTCTAGAGAAGCAAATGTCTCCCACGAGATCAAATGATGGGGCTGTGGGGACCTTCAGAAGAAGAGGAAGTTGGCTTATAAAGAGAACAGGGCAGAGGCCTGGGGTGAAGCAGACAGGAAAAGGTGCAGCCACAGAGAAACCAGATGCGTGGTGACTTTCTAGTGGCTGCGAGGCTTGTCTGTACTTCCTACGTTGTATTTGTGTGAGCATACCTTGAATCACTTCAATAAACATCTGAAAAGCTTGGTTTAGATCAGCTCTGGGGTTCCAGCTAGCTCCGGCTCACTGAAGGCTAATGGAGCAGTGAGTGAAAACAGGGCACTCACCCATCCATTGTATCTACTTAAAGTCCTTTTTCTTTTCTTTCTTTCTTTTTTTAATATATTTTATTGATTTTTTACAGAGAGAAAGAGAGAGGGATAGAGAGTTAGAAACATCAATCCGCTGCCTCTTGCACACCCCCTACTGGGGATGTGCCCGCAACCAAGGTACATGCCCTTGACCGGAATCGAACCTGGGACCTTTCAGTCCACAGGCTGACACTCTATCCACTGAGCCAAACTGGTTTCGGCTTAAAGCTCTTTTTCTTAACCTTCCTTCCAAAGGTTGTGCCTGGGCTTTGATAGATGAGGCAACTGGAAGGGATAGTCCTGAACTGCAGGAGTAACTTTCCAAAACCATGACAAATAAACAATAACAGAGCTGTAGAGACTAGATTCTTCTATTATAAGATTTTTCTATTAAGTGGTTGATATTAACTCCTCCTTATTACAGGGTCCCTTTGCATCCCCTTTGCCCCTGAGCCACCCTGGGTGTCTTGGCAGTGTCAATGGTGTCTATTTCATGCACGACCCCACTGTATCCTGTGTGTCTTCTGCTTCCTGGCCTCCCTCCTGTCACACAAGGGTTACTGGCTTGACATCTAGATCTGGTTTCACTCCTATTTTCCCAAGGCCTAACCAGCCAAGTTTTACTTTCCTCTTTTCTCTTGTTCAGGGCCAGTCTTCTGCTTTATCCCTGCTGCCCTCACCCCTGCCAGCATTGTCACCACACCTTCCGACGCCAGACAGCTCCTCTGCTAATCTCTTTTCTCCTCCACCCTGTCAGACCCAGAGCATCAGAAGATAATTCTAAGGAGGAAGAGAGCTGATAAGGGAGAGGCTGTCTTGGCCTCACTAACTCCCTAGAGCACATGTGTCAAACACAAGGCCTGCGGGCCAAATCCGTCCTGCCAGGCCTTGCAATGTGGCCCGCACCGCGCTGTCATCACTGCACTCCGCTGCGTTTCCATCACAATGACAGTTTATGACTGTTCAGTAAACCATTCGGCCCGCGATTTAGGCTGGATTTTAGATTTTGGCCCCTTCTCTGATTGAGTTCGACACCCCTACCCTAGAGCCTCCCTCAGGTGTTTCCTTCGGGGCTACAGTGTGAGGCACTGACCTCAGACCAGAACTAGGATTTAGCGAGTCCTCCAAGAACCAATGAACCAAGAACATACATCCCAGTGATTTCACGATCTAGCATTCCCTGATGTAAGAATCCTCCAAGCAGGCTGTTACTAAAGAGTTAGGTTTTGAGTCAGAGAATGAGTTAACTTGTCACAGGAGCAGGGCTCTGGCCCCAAGTTCTTGGCTTAAATGAGTGATCACCACAAGGCACACAGGAGCCTTGGAGTAAAAGATAACCTGTTAACACTAGGACTATTATTCCACCTTATCTGGGAGGTGAGCACTTGTTCTGACTGTGTTTAGAGTTGGAAGCTAAATTAGCTAAGAGCTTTTTATTGATTCTTGTGCATGAAACATTCCAAGATCTGGGTCTCAGCAAGTTTGCTGAGCTCTGCAGTGAGATCAGAAGACACTACACCCAAAGTACAATCAGAACTTCTGCTAAAATCAGAAAATTTCCTGTCCTCCCCTTCCCAAACTCTTGCCCCATGTGAATGGTTCATCTGCAAAGCCCAAACGCAACATCACAGGACTCTTATGCTAGTCCAAGGGGTAACCATAGTGTTCCTTTATATTTTTAATGTTAAAATTGGGGGTGGGGGGTGGGGGGAGAGCATTCTATGTACTAAATTATTCACTTATTCCTTACACAATCCTGAGGCAAAAAGAGTTCTCTATTTTCAGGTGAGGAAAGAGGGCTTAAGTAAGAAGTCTACACATAAAAAGGCTAAGCCAGAATCCCACACTAACCTTCCTCCCCAAGGCCTTTCTTCCTGCCAGTGTTAGCAGCGAGGCCAAGCTCTTTCAATAGAGCTGAAATTAAAGATGAGCTGAACACTGAATACACAGGTTCTGACAAAAAGAGAAATGATATAAGAATTTATTTTCAGAGAACCAGAAAAAGAAAGTGCTTCTGCCATGGCCTTATGCAAAACATGGGAGGCATTTACCCTACTGTTTCTTTGTATTGTTACTATATTTTCTACCGCAAACAACCAATCAATTTCTATTGTGCCTACTTGTGGT